GAAATGGTCTCAGTTTTCAAATAAAAATTATTTTTCGTTGCAAAGATATCAACAATTACATACATCGATCTATCTAGAACACGTTGCGAATGAACCTCCTTCTAGACCGAAGTCAACCGACAATGCAGCGATATATTCTGCATAAGTCAATGACCTACAAAATCGTGACCCACCTTACTACTATTAGTCAGCTGATCATAGTGCAATAGTTACGTAACATTATGTGATGCGCGTAAAATAACACACATACATTACACGCACATTTGTTCGTAAACAATGCGAGTGCCAGATTTTTAAAACTTTGTAGCTCTGCGAAAAATTGACGTAACATGCAAAAACGGATTTTTCTGTGCCGTAGATACTTATATCCAGGGTATATGCTTGTATATATATACATATCTACAAATTGATTCGCTAAGTATTATTATATGACAGTGTAAAAAGATGGAAATGTAAAAAGATTCAGATCTTTCATCTGTTTCTGATTCGTAAACTAAATGTAGCGAGTGCTAAATACATGTAACGTCAAGGTGAAGCGATTCTTTTAATTTCACGAATAGAGTAAGGTATATGCAATTTAATTTTTATTATACTAAGAATAATAAAAGTTATAAGTAACTTAAATTATACCTCAGAATGTAGAGCAACTCGATAATATTATATAGACAGAATAATGTTATATGCCATTTCATTTTCTATATAAAATGTGCAGGCACTTAAAGCCAAAGTATCACGAGAATGACATCACGATCGAATACGCAGAAGTTGCCGGACGCTGAGTGAATTGAATTAGTTAGTCGGACGACATTCTATGATCCATCTTTTGTGCGTGCAAATATTGCCTTTCTTTCGTCAAGGCGGCTGCATTAAAACCAATCGTTTCATAGCCTCAACGAGTCGTCTCGTTTTGAGTGCTTTGTCTGTCAATCGTCTTTATCAAGGCTAAGTGTCTAGGTGGCCCACAGACCGGACTCGTTGGTAGTATAGCAATACTATTTTAACCTGTTCACACTCAGATTGAAAGTCTAAAAATTTTTTCTAGTCTATGTTTTACCTTTTGCTGTCGTTATAATGAAATAAATCAATACAATATGAATACTATCTATGCTTATGCACTGAGTTCCATGCCAAAACTTAATTAACAATTTTTATCTTAAAACTTTATAAAATCAATCAGTTAGTTCTTAAATCACTACATATTTTGATAAAGTTTTGATATTAGTATGATTCGATATCATTGAAGGCAAAAGGGTTGTAAATCTTAACCTCGAGCTTAAAAGGGTTTCATTTAATTGTCATAGAATCCTCTCGATAAATTTCAAATCTCGCGTTGAGAAAAATCCATAAAAGATCGCTGATTCCGTCAAAAGTCTATACCGCGCTCTGTATTTGACAATTCGGACAACAGACCACCCCTATACTATTCATCTACCTACTGTTATTATTTTCATAAGGCATTGAGACTATCTCTCGTCTGCCTTTCAGATAATCCAGATTAGACGCGATGGAAAGGAGTCCATCTAATCCGGAGCTGCAGGAATTTGTGAGCGTATTGTAGTGAAGAATTTCCGAAAACCTGCGCGTTGACAGGCATATGGATCAATGTTATGTCGGAAAACTTTGACACCCGCAGAGTTTCGAGTTGTTGTCCACTTTGAATATTTATGATTTTAAACTTCTCTCAAAATTGCTTTTTCCACGGTATTCATCGCATTTTTCTATTATTAATATATTATTACACACGACTGTGGACATCTTTCTTATGGTGTTATTTAATTTAATTATTTAATTTAAATAATTTTTTTAAATAAGGCGTGTTATATACTAATCTGAAAATAAATATAATATTCAAGTTATAAAAAAAATCTATTTCATTAAGAGCGCAAAGTAATCATGCATATAAAACTATTTCCTAAAAAAATATTGAAATTTTTTTGCAGATTCAAGCACATTGCCTCGCTTAATCTTTTTGAATTCTTGAACAAAACGCATTGAGAATTGTAACAAAATCTCAAAAGTTCTTGTTTCAAAGTTTCAAATTTTTTTAGCAGTATTTACATACGCAGAGATTTTCGTCTTTGCCTGCCTCTTTTTTTTCTTTGCCGACAGTTTAACGTGATCGTCATGGAAATCATCTTCCGTCGGCAATTTTCTTTGTCGGGCCACGGGAGATTAGTTACTTGATCTGGATTTCGGAGAATAGATGCATCCATTGATGTGGAAAGAAAAACTTAAAACGTTGAGAGTTCAAAAATATACGCAGAACTCAATCCGATGAATCGTGACACTGCTTTTCTAAAGACGTTTCAATTTCTTCTCACGAGAACTTTTCTAGCAGAATCCGTTTGACTGCGGAAATTGCGAGAACATTTCGCGCGATAATCGGAAATTGATCCGTGGATTAACTTCAGCAATGTCACATTTGACATGTTATAAAACTCTGCCAGCATCTTTCCATATAATATGAATTTTAAACGTATAGTGAATAGAGAAAAGAAAATGAAGAGTAATTGGATGCAATTAATATATGTTAAATTAGTTGAGAATAACATTCTTTATAATTCACGTTGCTGAAGACGCATATAACTGTAAGATTTGCCATCATATTCCAGAGAAATAGATATTTGCCATTTTTAATAATTTTATAATACCTCTATATTTCATCTAAAATCTTATTAGAAAATTATTTCATATTTAAGCTACCTTATATTTAACTTTAAGATAAAATATACAATGCGCTGTCATGCGACGAAAATTTCCGGGCAAAGACATTCCATAATCATTACGAAATCTATTTAGAAACGTGTTCAACAAATAGATTCGTTCTTCTTTTAACGCTTGCGAACCGTTTTTGTCGTGAAAAGCATAATAAATAAGCAGGATTATGATTGTAATATATTTTACCAGTCAGCCATGTCAAAGTGAAAATTTGGCATAGCCAAAATTTTCATGCAATATGGGAGGCAGTGATAATCGCCGATTACCATTCCCGACTCCTGCTGTTTCCAAAATACTATGTCGAATATTACAATAATGATGTAACGAGCGACTATAAATCTTATAATTTTGAACGTTCGTTCTGGACCCTTAGCACTTCCCATCATTGGTGGTCGTGTTAAGGAAATATCTCGAACACAAAAAATTAAACTAAAATAAATATATGAATCAAAAATATTTTGTTGCTTGTTCTAATTTTAACCCTAAAGCTTGCTTTAATTGATTTATAATTAAAGACAAAACTTGTCCCAAATTGATGGAATTCTATTTATAATTTTATGCTTTATTTTATAGATATGTATTCTAATACATGAGCGTACGTATGTATCTTGCATATATGTTTATTTTAATGTTTCAAATATTTTCTGCTTTCTTGACATAAAATTATGAATAAAATTCCACTCCTAAATTTTATGCGTAGATATGTACTGCAAATTAAATAAAATTAAAAAATAAAAATTTTGTGAAAAATAGTGACGAGGTTACACAACTTCGGGATTGTAATGAATGCAACATTTGCGTACAATAATGAAGCAATAAACGGTCGCGATCTATGACTGGTTGCGCCTGCCGTCTGCCTGATCGGATGATAGCGTCGGACTGATAATACATTCAACTTGTGATTGCTAATTTAACAATCATCATATATGCATTAGTTTATAAAATAAAGTAAATAAGTTTGCATTTTTTGCAGACACTTTTATATATCTAACATAAAATGTTATATAGATATTCTTCATAAGATTGCTAGCAAATTCAATCGTCTATATTAACCGAAAGAGATTCGCGAGATACTTATAACTCTCACTAGATGGTCGGCAATATGAAAATACCAGAAGAAGGGGATGTAGAGGGATGCAACTAAATCTGTCAGTCGGCATGGGGTGACGACATTTTCACGATAGGGGGCCTAGCTTCGTATAAAGATGTCGTAGTCGCAATTTAGTAGAATGCTTTGCTCTATGCCGATGTCTTCTTTTAAAATCTATGGTCTCTTTAGTCATAGTTCTTTTCTCACAATTCACGTTTGTCACGTGCCTTTTGACGCATTCATTCGCATGAATCCATAAATTCGTCCACTTCATATCGTTTATCGAGATCAATATCATTTTCAATTAATACCATTTAACGTGGAACTAATTAGAACAATGCTCCCTGTATATTTTTTTAGTTAATATTCTATTCACATATTTTTTCGCCGTTTTATACTCCTCAAGTTATAACAATATATATATAAATTAATTTTTGAAAGAACAATTTTCACGAAATAGACAAATTTAAGATGATTGCGTTAGATGTAAAGTATCTAACGCGTTTTACTTGCCAAAAATTACGTATAGCACGTAATTTAGCACGCTTTGCAAGTTTATCACAAAAATAGTATTTTTTTTTGTGCAAGCTTTATATCATTTTATTAAGGCGTCTAAGTTGACAAACATCGATCATGAAGTCGGTGCACCAGGTGCACGAACAACGCTCTACAATATCATCCCCATCATCTTTATAGTATTCTGCCGTGTAATATGCGCCGAAGTTGAACGTTTCGCCCAGCGTGAAAGATACAAATATAATCGCACCCCGTATTGCTATAGCTATATCTCTTTTTCCCACACTGGCCCTGCGACGCTTGCAGCGTGCAAGAACGTGCCAATCCTACAGGAGGGCGTAGAGACGCACGTTGGATTTGTTTGCACACCCGGGGATGCACGTTTAGTTGCGGCTGCGCTCCCCACTACGCGTTCGTTCTCGATCCGCTTGCGCCTCGCTGCCACCTTCGAAATCCCTGCCTTCGCCGTGGCTTACATTGTTTGCTGTCAAACATTGGGCGCAAAACACCGTGGTGGGGCCGAGCGACACTGCTGGTTCTCCAGCAGCGCAACTCGCGCCGATTGGTCAGCGAAACCCTCGAGGCACATTGCATCGTGCTCGGTGGGCGTATCCAAATGCCACGTATAAGTAGACTCCTGACAGGGGAGACCGTCAGATACGCGCTGCTGGTCGGTGAAAGCGTGTTGTTTTATGCCGCTCTGTCGCAGCGGTGAAGGGCCGACAGTGAACGGCGTGTACAAGAAAAGTAAGAAGAAAAACGTTTAGTGTACCGTGCAGTTGGATGCGAAGACAGTATGTCAAAATTCAACGATCGAAGATATATACAGAAATTAGTGCATATTTATGTTTCACGTGTGATTAAGAACAATTCAATCCTATGCAACATTTGAACATTAACGGTAACCAGCGCAGCTGGAAGTGCGAACAGCGAAGAAGAATAGTGTAACGGCGAAAAGCATTCGAAGAATGGTGAATATGGAAGGTTCAGGCGAGCAGCATACCGTGCCAGCTTCACCGCCGCCACGGACTTTAAAGAACAACATCCCCTTCAGTATCCGTAGCATTTTGCCTGAGGCTTGTGCCGGGACCCCCGCGCCGTCGGTGAGTCAATCGGACTCTTCCGATGTCGGGCAAGTAGACGATAGCGACGATTGCAGTGATCTCGATGTCACCGGGGGTGGCGCGGAAACGCCGCCCTTGGACTGCACGACAAATGCAACGTCTGTCAGCCCGACGAATCAAAAGGATCCCAAGGAGCAACCGGAAGACAAGAAGAAAGCGGAGAAACCACCCTACAGTTATAACGCCTTGATTATGATGGCAATTCGGCAAAGTGCTGAGAAACGACTCACCCTGAACGGTATTTACGAGTATATAATGCGTAACTTTCCATACTACGAGAATAATAAACAAGGCTGGCAAAATTCCATTCGTCATAATTTGTCGCTAAATAAATGTTTCGTCAAGGTACCGCGTCACTACGACGACCCCGGCAAAGGTAATTACTGGATGCTCGACCCGAGTTCCGAGGACGTATTTATCGGAGGTACCACGGGCAAGCTTCGACGAAGAAGCACGGCGTCATCCAGATCTCGGTTAGCGGCCTTCAAGAGGGGCGTAGTACTAAGCGGACTTTATCCGACGCATTATTCGCCACCGGGATGGCAGTCGGCGTATCTGCATTTTCCGTATCTTCATCGTGCCACCAATTCATACGCTCCAATGGCTGGACCCTACGCTCCTGCCGGATATCCAGCTAGTTTACTACCCGGAGCTGTGACAACGTCGGCTACGAGTTTGCCTTGTAAACCGCAACCTCTCCCGGCAACAGCAGCACCGCCAGCTCACGGTGCGTTCTCCGTCGAAAGGTTGCTACAAACACCCACCGGTTATCCCGCCAGTATCACGGCGCCTGGAATTCCACCTCCAGGAAATCCTTACGACTTGTACAATACACTGAGATCTATCGCGGCGCATCAGCAACATCAGGCGGCGGTATTCGGGCAGCAACCCAGATATCATCTCGGTCATCAGGTGCCGCTTCTAAACCAAACGGCTTCTAGCACGGCATCGCCCGGAAGCAGTCCGGAGCCGATGGCTCCGCATTCGCCGCCGGTTACTGTTTGCAATTCCGTCCAGCCGACGAGACCGCTTCCTCACAGCCCACCACAGCTTCTTCTAAAACCGATTACAGTCCTCACCGGCCGACAAAGCTGAATTGCAATCTAAGGGTTCGTCAAAAATCTCCGAGTTCTAAAAAGTGCAGCATAGCTTCACACACGCGTAAACTTCTATTATTTCGATTAATTTTATTACTTACTCGATTAAAGCTCCATATACGTATAAATTTACTCGATTAAAGCTCCATATGCGTATAAATTTACTCGATTAAAGCTTTATATAAATTTAAAGATAAGTTTGAAAAATTTAATTTAATTTTTTTTTCAACATTTTTTATCGAATTAATTTAATCGGTCTTTTTATTTATTTTAATATTAAAGCTTTAATATTGGACATCCACTTTTCGGGAAGTTGGAAACTAATTAATGTCTTTACGCGATTTTAACATTTCCGATACAAATACCAGTGATTGTATTTGATATACAATTGCGATCAATTTTTATACGTCAACTCATTGTACTTGACTCAATTGTATATATTTTCTCATATATACGATATAATTGTAAATATAATCTTAAACGTAATATAATCTTGTAAATACAATCTTAAAACATTCGTTTGAAAACGATGTTGACGAAACTTCAGCAAGTCATGAAGTAAATTTTCAAATAAAATTCAGAGTAATATAATTATTGTGTAAATAGTTACGTAGATAGAATTTTAACTTATGATCTCTTCTTGACAGTCGTAGTCTGTACAGTATTGATTAATCAATAATTGTGTATAGCTTGTGTATAAGATTTATAGGTACCTATTCGTAACTTGTTATTACGACGTGTAAAAATAGAAATTATTGTTGCTAAAGATATTATGAATATTACATATGTATATAAAGAAGGAATTCCCTCAAAAGAAAACCCTGTATATCATTAAAATAAATGTCCAAAACTTTTCTAAAAATTTCATGTTGCAATTAATATTCACCTTGCCACTATCTTCATACAAAATATATTACCAACGTATATTGTAATATTTATACAAAATTCTTTCTAGAGAATCTTGCAAATATATCTCAATTGTATAATATATCATTATATATAATTTTTTTCCTTTTTTTGCATATAATAGGATTAAATTTATTTAAATGTATCACATCAATTAATTATTCAAATACGTAAATATTTAAATATTACAGTTTTTCTAGATCTTTTTGGAATTTTCCGGTTTACACTTGGGAGGTCCGGAAGAAACTTTCCCTTGGGATAAAGCATTGCCCAGCATTCAGAAATCTAATGGACTGAACCCAATATTGTCAAAATATAGCATAGAATAAAAGTCTGAATTGTCAATGACACGGTACTATAACAACGGTATTATATGTAGAGTTATGTGTAGAAATGCAAGGTCTTGTTGGCAAAACTATTAGTTTCGCATTGTATCGAAAAGTGTCATCATTTTTCATATATCTTTAAAAAGAAAAGAATTCTCAATGTACATTCCATGTATTGTATGTAGACAAAATATTTTCTAAACATCACTTTCTAAAGAACTAAAAGAAACTAAAATAACTAACTAAAATAAAGAAAAAAGGAAAGGTATCCGGAGATTATTTTTCAAGGAAGTTGCAAGATTTTCAGAACGTATAAATAGAAACGTATTCTTTTACAAATACATCTCGTAAAATAAACAACTAAATACATTTCACAAATAAATTTCGTAGTTTTAAATTCACGATAAAAGTATACTTTTAAAATAAAGAAAATCAGGCTTTTTAAGTTTCATAGCGATGATTGCAAATTTAAGAGATTTATTTTGACCGTTAACTTTGAATGTCGGTATAAATAAAAGGACACGATCGAAATTAACTTAGTTTATTTTACGAACTTAGTGAGTTTTATTAAATTGAATGAAAGAAAGGGGAAGGGTTGTGAACATTCCTCGTAAGCGCGGCGCGTTTACATGCACACGATCCAAGAGCGTGTTGCCAGTCGGTACGAACAGGCGCGATATTGGTATGATACATTGAGACAATGAGGCGTAAATAAGATAATGGCGCGCGCTCGCGTATGTCCAACGGGAGTTTAAACGTCCGAAGGGTCGAGGAGAACGAGGGAGGGAAAGAGACCGGTTAGGATCGGCAGATGGGATTGTGACCCGCGCGGCCTGCCCACCGCCAGACGTGCTCAGCATCCTTATACCTTGGAGTGGCTAACACAGCGGTTTTGTCTGGTACGCGAACCTTGTTAACCACCCGTATTTTTCCGACGAAACATCATCTCTAGAGTCGAAACTCAGTACAGTAATAAAATTCCATCAGCTTAATAATTAACGATTAGTGCTTCTTTTATGATCGTCCAATAAATATGTAAATTGCGTTGTTCGTTCATTAATTAATTTTCACGATGATAGACCATTAATGGATTCTTAAATAGATCGCAAAATAATATTATGATAAATACTTGGGTGATTTATACATGTAGCAGGCTCTTACGAAGTCATCGATGAAAAACTGATTTATGACTTCTTGCAAAATAGTTTCCACATTGGCTACGCTTTCGTATAATTCAACCTTGTGAAACTGTGCGAAACGGGATAGTTGCATATTAAAACATTATCGAGAATTAAGTTGCAAATAGTTGATTAATTAAAATCAATAGAAGAATAAACGACATGTTTGAAACGAGGCGAAATCGCGTTGCATAGCATCACGTAGCCCGAAGGGGACGGTAAACACTTGCGTGGTCAATTGCTACAAGTGGCAAGTTGTCTACGGCACGCATGTTGTTGCTTCTCTACGTGTCGCATAGGTGTTGGTCACTATCGTTATGGATGTTGGTTTCTACGCGATGCGCTTAGCCGCGAGTGAAGGCGTCGCTCTTATGGCGACAACTTTTTATAGAGATTTTGTATATTCATTGAGAGATAGATTATACATTCATCATTCAACACCACGATTAAATAAACTTGTAAGTTAATTTAATAATGTTAGTAACGTAATGTGTTTATTTTGTTAATTACTTAATAGAATATCATTCTTCATCTTTGTTAACTTTTCGTATTATTTCTGCCAGCGAGCAATATTTGTACATTCTAAATGGTTTTTTTTTTTCTTAATTAAAACAAGAGGAAAAGATTTATTTTTCGTAGATGAAAAAATAAATTATTATATTTTTTGTTAGATTTTTTTACATTTGCATCTACTTGTGCATTCTTAGTGTATTTAAATGACAAATTAAAATTATTCTTATGTATTTAAACAGAATATGGCAAAAATCTAAGATGAATAAGGTTCTATGTATTAACAAAATCAAATTCTATAACAACATTAGCTATATTGATTCATTTATTCATCAAATCTCAGATGAAATCAGCATCAATTTCGAAATCTTACCACAGGATAATTCTTATACAAATATTACTTCGTAAGACGAAATTACTTGGACAAAGTGTGTAAAATTCATAACACGTGTACCGTCCATAAGTGTTCCTGGCGTTTTAGTAAGTAGTCAGTAACTCGCTGAATTACTTTGCGCTATTACATTATTGTCGATGTCGTCAGCGTTATTCGCAAACGCGCTCGTAGTAGTCGAGACCTTTTAGAGTCCTCGTAGCATTATTTGAATACAACTGTTTAGTTCCTGACGTATATATCATTATAGATTATACGATTACACGTATAGCCAGCCGCTACTATGTTAGTCCGTAATGCCAGCTCATACTTTTGTTCGCGCATTGCTATTTTACCATTTTTATATTTATGCATTTCACGTGAATAGATATAATGCTGAAATTCTATTAATATCGCATTAAAAAATAATAGATAATAGTGGACTTAGAAACTTTATGCTTCTATATCTGTTAGAAAAGTTTAAAGGTTCAGAAAAGTTTTAATGTCAACCGCTTTTTCTTTAATATTAAGAAAAAGTTTTTAAATAAGGAAGAAGAACTGGTTTTTGTTTCCTTCGCGAGTCCACGTGGTTTTATATTTGTAAAATACAGCAGTGAGAAATATTACAATTAAAAAGGCCATTTTTCAATTTCGTCACTCTTCACATTCATCATACGAGCGGAAATCTGGACCATCTCGCGGCCTACCTACGGTTATTTTGACATCGCCATCTTGCCTATTTACAGAGGGGTTCTCTAGCATCTCGAACTCAGCAGCCAGTCGTGACTCTCATTTCTCTCATGCACACATATGTAGCCGTGAATGAACGGCGTGCATGGGTGCGTGTGCACATAGGGTGGCTTGTCAATAGATTTCGGTGGCGGTGCGTTACATTATTTTCATCGCTTTATACCGTGGGGAGGTAGATACGTATTTCGGAGTCTACACCGACACCGCCGTCGAAGGAGAGGGAAGACTGGTTCCGATATACGAAGCTCACCCTCGTGTAGGGCTGAATTCTGGGGGCGAGGCCGGTTTCCAACCTATGGGGATACGTTTCGAATGTAATGGTGGTCGATCTGCGGTCTTTACCAAACACGCTCCGAGTCCGGCGCAGTCGTTGCACATCAGTTACATCGTGAAGATTTAAGTTCAACGATTATTATTCCGCCAAGATCACGCATCGATCTAAATTCAAGTTTACAGTTTCAAGTGCTTTTCTTTGACTGATCTATCACTGTCATCCATTTTTTCTAAATTATTGGCAAGACATTGAACATAATTATTAATCGATTTTGATTTTAACTTATTGATTTATTTAATTTTTGGTTTTATTGCAACGAGTCATTTGTTTCATGCCTAGGATATTTGCTTTTATTTTCAAATTGCAAAATAATGCTGAATGTTCTTTCATGCGAATCTTACTCCATTAGCTGCAGCATATAATATTAATCCATAGCTTTCTAATTCGAGCCAAACAACAAATCAAGTATCACAATTCTATAGAAATATATATATATATATATATTTATATACCAGTAATAATCTTGCGCAATTCAAGCATGATAAGACAGATGGACGTTAGATTTACCGATGGCAAAAAAAGATATACTTTTTTTCACTTGCTTGGCAGAATGATCGCAGTCGATTAATCGCGATTTCTTAGCAGCAATCAAATTTATCTCGAGTGCGCAAGTTGCTCCGCGCTGATTCACCGAGTTTATCATATTGATGATTCGCGGCGGAAGTCTCGCCGATTTCCTCGACTCCGAACGAGGAGACAATGAGAAGAAGCGCCGTCGTCATCGGGCGGAGGGCAAGGGAGGGATGTTGACGCGGCACTTTGATTGCGGCTAATTTCGAGCAAGATTCAAGGATGGCCGAGTTGTAGCCCCCTTCGACCACGCGTGAATGACGTAAGGTCGCGTACCTATGTAAGTAACACCGAGCCTACTTGTCGCGCGATGACTCGTTTAATTTATTTGAGCGCGGAGGAAGAGTTAAGGAGATGCTACGGCGTGTGCTCCTTCACCACCTCCGCACGCTTGTTACCAACGATTACGCGCTCGCTATTGGCTCTCCTCGGCTTGAACTACTTTGCGGGCTTTCGACTGCGTTCATCTTTACCCGCGGAAACACCTACGCGTCGCCGAATCGTCATAAGCGTCTACGAGAAGGATGAACAACGCAACGTAAACGAGACGATAATTTAACGGCTGAATGAACAATGGTAATGTTGCGTCAGAAAGAGAAATTCATACTTTAAACGACTTTCATATTTTTTTGAAAACATTATCAGTATACTTGAAATGTAATTACAAATTATACTTTATCTGAATATCTTACATAGATATGATGACAATATTTAAGTTCAAATTTTGTTAAAGAGTACTGGAAATTTAATTCTGCACCTTACATAGAAAATAGAATGTTTTACTTCCGAGTACGAAACAATATTGATGGTATTATTAATTTAAATTTCTATCAAATAAAAATCAACATTAAATTTAGATAAGAAAAAAAGACGATTTACCTAACTTTATATAAACTTA